CGTCGGCCTCGACACGGTGGGCGACTGCGACAGCGCGCTGTCCCCGTCCATCGCGCCACAGCGCGAGGCGTCGCTCGACGAGGCCGCGCGGCAGACGGAGGAGACGCTTGAGGTCGGCCGCAACCTCTGCGAGGCAATGGAGAAGCAGACGCAGGCGATAGCAAAATCCATCACGAACACCGGTGATAAGATTCGCCACGCCAAGCTTGCGAAGGCGAAGACGACGGAGGAGGCGCAGGTCATCACAGCCGCGGCCAATCGCGCCGTGGCAGCCGTAGAAGAAGAGGTCGGAAGAGCGTTGCGTTTGAACAACACCAGCAACGACAAGAAAAAAGTGGGAAAAACCTACAGCTTCCACCTCTATACAGTTATTTTGCTTATGCTTGGGGCGTACTTTGTGGGTGTTTGCTGTAGGGTCGGGTACAATGATGGAAAACCGCTAGAGTGGCCCCCATACCTGAAAGAAATGGTGGACCGCGTAGACAATTGCACGTACATGATCATGGATGCCGTCTGGCGTTTCGTAGAGGATGTGCTTCCGCTAATGGGAGGGACTGGGATGAACGGAAAAGAGAGTGTGGTGGCGCGGTAGAACGGTGGTAGGCCACACGCACTGTTCCCCGCCAATAAGAACCATCTGCGGGTGCACGGAGCCAGTTAGAATCAGTATACACGTAGATGTGCGGATGTGGTACGGGGGGAAGGGAAATATAGCGTATCCCAGTGGATGTGGTGCGGCGTGCGTACTACTGTTTATTCTATTGATGCTGCTTTTACCTTTTTGTTTCTGCTTCGTTACCTTCCTTGGGGCCTTTTTTTTTGTTGTTGCGTCTTGTGCTTGGATTCGTTTTTATTTTTCTTTCTCCCCGGTGGAAGGGCGTAACGATGGAGTACAGCTGCCTCGTCGCCGGTGATGCATCGGTGGGTATTGGCGCTTTGGTGCACATGCTGCTGGAGTCTCCCCTGCCCGCGGCACTTCGAGAGAAACAGCAGCAGCAACAGCCGCCCTTGGTATCGGCGCAGGATTTGCCGGCGGCGGAGCGGACGCTGACGCTGCCGAATCCCTCATTACCGCAGATGGATATACGTGTTCGCTTTGAAGTTGCCGAAACACCGCCGAGCGAGGCGGATTTTGGTAGTGGAGCCCCGGAAGCGGCGCTCTTTGTGTTCTCCGTGTTTGCCAGCGACTCGCTACGGCGTTTGCAGAAGGAGTGGGCCCCGTTGCTTAAAGGATTGCGCCCGGCACCCTCCGTGATTCTCGTGGGAATGACCAACAACAGCTTGACCGCAACCGCCACCATTCCGCCGAATGAGATTGCGATTGCCGCAAGGGAGGTGCATGCCAAGGGGTACTTTGAGGTGGAAGATGGCACCAGTAGTGGCAGCGCGGTGGCTGCGGAACTTCGTATTGGCGTTGCTCGCGCGTGCACAGGCGAACTGCTCACTGCGGATGACGTCCAGGAGTCGACTATTCACGACTTTCGCCAGCGTACTGCCATGCCGCTGTCGTTGCGGTCCAATTTGTCGCTCACGAGTGGGTGCCCGTCTCCACTGGACAGCTGGGGATACATGTCGCGACGAGAGGGTGCTGCTGTTGCTGCTGCTGCTGCTGCTACTACATCCCCTGTCTGGGGATACAGGCGACACCCGCGGTCAAATCGTGTGTTTTACGTGAATCGCGTCACGAGGAAGTCGCAGTACCGGCGCCCACCGGACTACGACGGGGAAGAGCCGGAGTTGACGCTGGAGGAGCGTGTCGAAGCGGAGCGGGAACGTCAAATGCGTCTGCAGCGGGAGAGTGAACTGCAGCGTGAACACGAGGAGCTCATGCGCTTTAACGAGGAGATGGAGGAGCAGCAGCAGCGGCTGCGGGTGAAGCAGTCGTGCGCCCGACGACTGGATCATGAGGTGGAGCGGCTCCGTCTGCACGCGTCAAGTCTTCGGCGGCAGTGCGAGAGCAACAAAATCAACCGCTCCCAGCTCGCACAGCTGCGGGATGAGGTGCGGGCGAAGGAGGAGGCCTTTCTGCAGGAGTCCATGCAGTTTCGCGTAACACTGCAACAGCAGCTGACGTCGGCGCAGGAAGCACTGAAAGAAGAGGAAATAAAAGGACCTTTTGGTGCCATTCAAACGGGCAGCGACAGTGTGTTCGTTGTGGCAGATGAGCTGGAAAGAGATAGACTACACGCTGAGATGCAAGCGACAGTGGACGGTACTCGTGCTGCTGTGGCGAAGCTGCGTGAGGTTCTGCTCCAGGGCATTACACTGCGGGAACGAAATGCTACGCTGCATACAGAGTTGACTGCCACTCTCAAGAGTACGGAGAAGCTCCTGCTGCAGATGAATGCGATCGATGCGGAGGAGCAGCGTATTCGCGCTGCCTTGCCCTCAGCGAAAAGGGAGCTTGAGGACGCACAATGTGCATTGAGGCCGCTTCTTGCGGCGCATAATGAACGGCGGCAGTGGTTGCGCACGCAGCGCCAGATGGCCGATAGGGCGGGACTCCAGGAAGAGCTGCTGACGGATGAGGTTCAGCGGCTAGATTTGGAGTTAGCCACTCTGAAGGAGAACACATTGAGCATATGCAAATCACCAGCTGCCCTGGGTGAAGCCTACGAGTACTCACGTCTGCAGCGCAGTCGTGATTTGCGTGCCTGCGTCACTGCGCACTCCATGTTTGCTGCGTGTGCCGTCTCTATTCCTCAACTGCGACAGAGGCTTGAGGAACATCTCCAGCGTCACTTGGAGATGCAGCAGAGCCGCCAGAAGCTCACGGGTGAGGTGCGGGAGCGGTACGTGCAGGAGCGGCTCTCTCTACTGCATCAATGGTACGCCCTTGACGCAGCTGAGTCAGGGACAGGGAACGACAGCGCCACCACACAGCTGTGCCTTGTAGAGGAGCGCATGGAGCAACTGGACTCGGCGATTGAGCAGCTACAGACGTATTCCACAGTCTGTGAACGAGGCACCAGTAACCACCGCGCAAAGCTGCAGCGCGCCCATGACCTCTTAGAAAGGTCATCATCGTTGTGCGCGGTCGAGGGGTCCTCAAAGTTACACAACACTGTGGAGGCATGCTGGCAACTTCTCTCTGAACGCCTGCGTCTTGTCATGTCCGGCCTCAAGTCAAGTGTTGTTATCGATGAGGGAGCGGTGGAGGCGGCGGCGGACAGTGAAAGGAGTGCCAGTTATACAGAGCACATTGCGCTGCTCCAACAGGATCTGTGGCGCTGCGCCGCGCAGAGCCTCCTGCGGCACTTCAGCCCGGCGGAGCTGCAGCGGGCTGTGCGCAGCCTATCGTGCCAGCGCACCGCTGCGGTGAGCGGCATGCACATGGCAAGCGTGTGCTCGTCTATTCCTAGCGGCAGCAATGACGGGGAGCGCGGCAGTAACGTTCGAAACGATGGTGACAGTGGCGGCAGCGGCGACGAGCCAACGGTGACCTGGGTGGAGGACCTGCTGTTATCAGTGCTGGCGCCTGTAGTGAAACCTCGCGGGCTCAGCGATCGAGCGGCGTTGGTGGAGGCAGCCGAGCGTGCAACGGCACGGAGAAGCGCATCTGTCGACGTGCTGCGGAAGCGAATGCGGCAGGTGTACACGTGACACTTTCCCAAAGATGCCGTGTTGCATAGAACAAAAAAAAACCATACTGTATCGAATCGTTTTTTTATGTAAGCAGCGGTGCATGAAATCAACTTGAATCTCCTGGCTGAGCTGTCTGCTTATTTATATATATATATATATATATATATATGTCTGTGTGTACATGTGTCTATACTTGTGCGCAATGTCATTTAAGCTGTGATTGATGCCTCTTCATTTTTTCCGTACCATTGTGTGTCCCTTTTGAGCCCGTCTTGCTGTTTTTTTTGTTGTTATTTCATTGTTTTAGTGCCCCTTCTGGCATATGCTGATTTCCCTTTTTTTTCTGTTTCTTGCTTCTCTCTTCAAGCTCTCTTGGTGCGTGCCGAACCATCCTCTTACTTCGTCGATTACACTGAAGGGTCTGAGAGGGGCGGCAACCGTGCCACGCTTCCCGTGTCTATGCGAGTAATGCGACAGACAGCCATGAATGTTGTTGTCGAGACCATCGACGACCCGCCTGCCGCGGGCGGACCACCGCAAGGAGGGGAGGACCACCACCACCAGCAGCAGCAGCAGCAGCAGCAGCTGCCTGTCAGGGATGTGGACACCTCTGTCCCGAGTAGTGAGTACGAGCAGCTGATTGTGCGTCGGATAGAGTGGCTTGTTGAGTCGAGCAAGGTGAATCTTCGGGAGTCTGCCAAAGTGGGCCGCATCGCATTTGGTGCTGTCTTCTTCCACCAAGGCGCACCTGTCGCCATGACGTTTGCGATGCTGCTTGTCTCGTGCGTGCTGTACCCGACGGTGCAGACCATCACGTGCACGGCGCTCTTTTCTGTGCTGTACGCCCTCTGCATGGCTGTGCAGGTCTACCTGCTGTGGGCCCGCATCACGGAGAAGAAGATGCGCACCGCTGCCGTTATGGGCAAGGTGCTCGCGCGGTGGATGCAGCGCGTTGCGGCAATGACGCGGATGCCGCGGCAGAGCCAACGCGAACGGCGCGCCGTCTTCTGCGAGTCGTCGGCGGTGTTGCCCGCCAAGGCGTTCCGCATGGTCGCCGTCGTGGACGAGGTAACGGGGCGGCTGAAGCACATCCTCAAGAGCCTCCTAGTGAAGGGCGCGAAGCGGCTTGACGAGGCGACGCTGAAGGCGCGCCGCTACGTGGAGCCGGTGGCGCTCTGCAAACTCATCGATGTGATGCGCATGACGTTGGAGGCTGACGCAATTGTGTTGCGCCCGCTGCGCGACAAGGCGCGGCCGCCACGGCACCCCAACCTGCACATCGCCAGCAACAGCACGAAGGAGGAGGAGGAGGAGGCGGACACCACCGACGACAGCGACCATGACCATGACCCGCGCAGCGACGTGAACGGAGCCAACACGAACTCCGTCTCACAGAAAATGGAGTTCCTGACACACCGCATATTTTTGCTGATGTGGGTGCTGGGCTTGCTGCTCAGCATTATGGCTGGATGTATCTTCTACGCGCGCGTTGATGCGCCGATAGGGGAGGGCGTCTTTCTGTACCCCGCCGTCGCGCTCCTTGGCATGTTGCCGGTGAATGCCATTCTACTGAACCGTGTCCTGGTGCTATACGCGAATGTGTACCTCGACCGCCTCTTCCACCAACTCGTTGCGAAGCCAACGCACTCCCTCGACGACCGTATTCCGCGCTTCTCGTTCCTCTCCACCATGCAGGCGCTGCAGCGTGTGCTGTGGCGCCACCCCGGCCGCCCCCCACTGTGCTTTTCCTCTTCAATGGTAGAGACACTGGGAATGGCTACAGTTGTGGCGCTGCTTGACACCACCGGCATCGTGACAGACATGGCGCTGCTGCCGACACACATGCTGATGCTCAAGCGCAGCGAGCACCCCGAGGACTCGTCCAGTTCCGACGATGAGAACAACGCTGGTAGTGGTGCCGTCAGCGTTGTGCAGGACGACGACGATGCCACGCGCGAGCAGAGGCGTGAGATAAAGACGCAGGTTCGGCGCAATAAGTTCCAGAAGTCTCGCTTCCTGGAACTGCGCCTCACGCCAAGCACGCGCGACGACCTCGCGGTTCAGTTCGCCGATGCGAAGGAGTTCGAAGAGCGGCAGACGAACGTGCACCCTGTTGTGCTGTGCCTGCTGCTCCACGCGCTGGTGCCAGAGCCGGAGAATATCGAGACGTGGACCGAGCCGCTGCGCTTCTGCGACAAGACACTGCGTTGGGCGCGCGCCACATATTGGATTCCGCGCGCCTGTGGCTTTGACGACAGTATCGCCGCAACGTTCCGCGTGATTGCGCGCATCTTCCAGTTCGACACGCAGACGCGGACGGGGTACCGCAACGAGTACCCCGAGCAGGCGTGCACGCTCCTGGTAGAGGGCGAGGAGGACCACGTTCTGCATGCCTTCACAGTGGGTACGGTGTACATGGTGACGCACAGCTGCCCGTTGCACTTCACCGGCTCCTCTATTGAGGCACTCGACGTGGAGGTGCGCGCGGAACTCGTGCACGTGGGCAAGAGAGTGTGGGGGGAAGGAATGGACCTCGAGACGGTGGCGGTTTCGCACCGCATGCTCCCGGAGCAGTATCGCAGCTGCGCTGAGCAGCTGCGGCAGAAGGGAAGAGGCGCCGGGTACCGTGAGTTCTTCTTCCACAATGGCGTGCAGGTGACGGCAAATGTCACGGCGGCTAATACCAATAGTGGACCGCCACCACAGCAAAAACACGAACAGGAACATCAGCAAGACTTTTCCCCCACCGAAGGCGGCCCGAAGGTGGAGCCGAGTGGTAGTGACGGAAAGGCTTCTGTCCTTCCCGACCAGGCCACGTTGAATTCCTCCCCAAATGACGGCGACGGCGCCGCATCACTCAACGACCTTCTTCAGTTTCTCGTCGGAAGCTCACATGTCTTTCTCGGCCTCGTCGGGCTGCGTGACTCCGTTCGTCCCAATGTGCAGAGCTCCATGTCGGTGTTGGAGAAGGCTGGCATTCGCTGCATGTACTTCTGCGCCGACAACGAGCGGTGCACGAAGAGTTTCGGCAGCCGCCTCGGCCTCGAGACGGACTGGAATTGCTGCATCTCGCTAAAGGAGGGCGCCGTGAAGCTCGACCGCCACAGCATCCGCGCACAGCTTCCCGTCGGTATCCAGTCGATCCGCAAGCACATCCTGCACGTGGACCCGATCCCGCTGCAGGTGAACATGTTCTCGCACGCCCACAGCGCCTCCACGCGTGCGATGCTGTCGATCCTGCAAGACAACCACGAGGTTGTTGTCTCGATTGGCTCCGTCTTCAACCACGGCAATGTGCGAAGCTTCATCCAGTCGGATCTCTCCATCGGCGTGCTGCCAACACGCCGTGGCTCCGTTGTGGAGAAGGAGGAGGCGCGGCTGCGACGCCTTGGTCGCGTGGTAGAACCGTCCAACTTCGGCGCCGCACACTCGCTCAACAGGGACCTGCCGCTCTACCGCAACGTTGCGGAGATGATTGCGTGCTCCTGCACCCTCTCCGCGTCACCGACGGCGTCGATCCTACCAATTGTCACGACGTTGATTCGGCAGGCGCGGCTTCGCTTGAGCGGGATCAGCAACTGCGTCGAGTTCACATTGCATGCGAACTTCTTCGTTACACTTGTGAATGTTGTTGCGGTGATGGCGGGAGCACCGCTGCTCATCAGCCCCACTGCAGCTATCTTTGAGCTGAACGTTATCATCCCGATTCTCGCGCTCTCGTGCACCTACACTGCGTACGCGGACATGGACCCAATGAACACCATCTCGTCGCGGCACAATTACTTTGTGCGGCTCGCCATCTTTCGTCACAGTGCTCTGGTATGGTGCCTGCGCTATATCCCCTCAATCGTCGCGCTGCTGCTGCTCGGTATCACGTGTGGTGAGCGCATGTGCAACAAGAGTGTCATCGACCTCGCGCTCTCGGCGTCCGATGCGTGCATGACGTCTACGCGCGGCTACATCGCGCTGACGCTGAACTACTGGCTGATGATCCATAGCTGGACGCACATGAGTCGCCACCATCCGCTATCCCCTGACCTTTCCTTCAAGACGCGCTACGGCAAGCGGTCAATGTATCTCTTCAAGTCCTTCCGCTGGGTCTCCGCGAGTGGTCTGGCGACAGTGCTCAGTGTCCTATTCGTCATTGTTGACACCTCACGGGTCGGGGTCATAGGTCAGGCCTTCTTCCCATCGAAGGTTCACTTCTTCGTCGCGCTGCTGTTTCCCGTCGTGCTTCTGCTGCTGGATGTGCCGATCAAAACATGGCGGGCGCGGCGTTTTAGTATGATGCAGAAGTTCCGCCGACTCTCGTTTGGCACACGACTTGGGATGCACTCCCCGCGTGGCGACTACGAGCCAGAGGGGGTGATGTACACCAACATGGAGAATGATGCAGAAAAGGACGAGGACCGCCCGCCAACGCTACGACAGCGTCTGCACGATATTTTCTACCGATTCACTACGATGCAGAGAGGGAAACTCGAGTTGAATTGCGTCTGCTGCGATCACATTGGCGGGAACTATGCGACGTATCACGTCAACGCCAATAACGTGTGATGGTTGTGTCTTCGTTGCTCTCGTTTGGGGGAAGGACACAATGCTTGTCGGGGTATATGCGTTTATGTGTGTGTGTGTGTGTGTGGATGTGTGTAGGTGTTTAAGAGAGAAGCACTGCGGCTGTAATCATTGGTTTCCTCTGTGCTGCAGGCATATCTTGTGCTGCGAAGACGACAGCGCAGTACCGATGTGGATGCACTTAACTGAGAATTAAGCAAATGACTAAGTGAGACACCGTAGCGGCGGCAACGCTTGGGACAGTGAGGCAACATCAAGAAGAATTCTCTTTTTCCTCTTGATCCTTCAAAGAGGATCACTGACCTGCTGTGCTGCGGCGTTCATCTGTCTCATCACCTCGTTGTGCTCGCCACGCCGTGGGCTTATTTCATTCCCCCTCCCCATGTCTGACTCCCAACGCATCATCACAAGGAAGTGAACGAAACGAACCCAACAACAACAAAAAAAAAAGTAAGGCCATAGCGAAGGAAGCAGAAATGCCTGCGCCGCGGCACGGAGCAGCGGAGGTGGGCATGGCGGTGCATCCACTACCTCTCACCCAGCCGCTGCCCGTGGAAGCGAGCGGGGAGACAGAACGGGTGCCATGTGCTGCTGCTGCTGCTGGCGGTGGGCGGTGCGACATGTTTGAAGCGGATGCGGCTTATAGAGAGAGACGGGCTGCGGCTGAGCGCTGCGCGTACATGCAACGATTGCGACGCTTCTTTGATCACCATGACCCCACGTGGTCCGAGCAGGATATCGCGGCGATTCTAGACAATGCGCAGGAAAAAGTGGACGGATTGAGTCTTTTGTGGCAGGAGCTGGTGGCGCATTATGGCCCGGAGCCCGTGAGTCGCGAGGTGCACGGCACACTGCAGGAACTCCTGACGCCGTCCAGTCGGAAGCTCAACACTACCGCCGAACTTGCCGTCAGCCGTGTCAGTAAAGGTGCTCCTGCTCCTGCTACTGCGCCACGGCAAAGCGAAAAGCAACAACAACAACAGAAGCAGACGAAGAAACAGCAGAAATGTGATGTCAAGGCGGCGAGTTACTCTCATTTTAGAGCCTTCTTTGGACTGGGGAGCGAGGATGAGCTGAATACCGAAGAGGTGAGGGGTAACGGGCTTGCATTAGAGTCAGCATCAACGGCAACAGAAACAGGCAAGGCCGACGTGGTGGCCATGCATATAACTGGCATGAGCGACGCGCTCTACAGTGTCGCATCTCCGTCACGTCAGCGGTCTTTTCGCCGTGCTGTCGGGGCGCAGTTGGGCGCGTGGGCCGGCTGCAGTCCCTCTCGCTTTGAGGTTGCGATGAACAACGGGTGCGTTGCTGTGGTGCGTGTCAGCGGCGAGGGCGGTACAGACAAGCGTTCTAATGTGGATCTTATTGCTGCTGCTGTGCGTATCGCTCGGTCTGGCGGCGCTTCGCTGCATCTCATGAAGGAGAGCTACCGGCGTGACCTTAAGGGCGGGGATGTCGTCATGGCGGTCACAGTGACACAGGCGCCTCCATCACGTGATGCCACCCTCGCAACAAAGGGGAGTGGCAACGCAGGGCCCTCAGCAGCAGCGACAACATCAACAGCGAACGATGGCGAAACTGACAGCGATACCGAAGATCATCGCGTTCACAGCCGCCGCCGCCGCCAACCTTTGGCCTCTGTCTCTTCCCCCACGCCACCGCCGTCCTTCTTCTACCGCGGCTCTCCACACCAGCCCTGCAGCAACGGCGATGGCCCTCAGCCGCGTTCCACCACCTCCTCTCTCATTGACAAAAGTCTGCCCCAGCAGCAGCAGCAGCAGCAGGAGCTGAGCCCTGCTCCATGGCTGGAGGAGAAGCAGAGGTCATCTGTCATATCCATCATGGAAAGTGTACACAAATGCTCCATTCCATCTGTGTCTTGTTGTTCTGAGCCGTTGTCGGGTGCGCGGCACAAACAGCCGTCTCCTCGCCACAGTGCAGGGCTGCTGGTGCCCACTGAGCCCCTGTGCTGCAGTGGGTGGCAGAGTGGCACCCATAGTGAGGTGGACACGTACTCCTTTGATCCCACACGTACAAGTCGGCTTCCGAGGGCAACGTAGTGAAGTGTCTGTGTGTCTGTTTTTTTTTTGTTCTTTCTTCTGGTGAGCTGTGGGCTGTATCGTGCTTTTTGCTTTTTGATGTCATTTTTTTTT